CAAACAAATGGCATTCAAAAGTGGTATAAGAGATGCCGCTCTCATCATAACACACCTGTATATTGACATACAGTAGACTTCATGACATTTAAAATATAATTTATTTAATTAAAAAACAAAAATTCAAAATCATTATGAAGTTTGAATATAATATCGATTAAAATAATGCGATATTACATAAAATAAATTGCTTTTCATATGACAATGCATTATATGATAGGAGACACTAACGAGTGATATATGCATACAAAGTGGTCGACTGTAGCACTGATCACATGTTTGGCATATATTTGAATGTTGTTTTGAAAGAGACTTAATTTTCATTTCATTAGCCATTCAGTTGAGTGAATGCTTTGTGATGTGACACACAATCAACTCATCATTTGTTAGCTTTTCTTATACTTTGAGTTCACATTTGTTTGCATCGATTGCAGTGTTTGTTGTGTTGACCACTCTTTCAGTTGATTTGATTTGGTTTTGTTGTCATCACATCTCAAGACATGACACTAATAGAGACGATCGCATTGGTGGCCACAATCATCACTATTATCTCATTCCTCAGTGGACTGTAAGACTCACCAATTAATTGATCCCAATTTAAATATATGTATTGATTGTCATGAAAACAGATCCATTTGTCTGAATATCTACCGGAAAGGATCCACTCATGAGTTCTCGTCCATACCATTCATAGCCGGAGTCTTGTGGTTAGGGTTTTGTTTGTTTGACACAAATTGTTATCTTTTATAAAGTATTTTGTGTTTTCTTTTCAAAAGTGGTTTTAATTGAAACATATTTTTGTCACTTTTTTGTTGTTTGATTGCATCGATTGGACAACAGTTGCACTCTTTGGTTAAGATATGGTTATATGCTTTCGGATGAGACCATGATTTTTGTCAATACCATCGGCCTATCACTGCAAGCCTTTTATCTGATCTGGTTTTACGCCTTTACCATCAAACGAGTACAACAATTACCTCATTATTCAACAATTTGTCATAACTTTAGCCTAAGTTTCTAATGTCTTATAACTAACCATCACTTCTAGAGTCAACTCAACAAACAAATTGGTTTCTTATTATCACTGCTGGTGTTGGCGTATATGGTGGTGGAGTCGCGATCGGATCCCACGTATTTGGCCGGACTCTTGGCCTGTATCTCATCGCTGGTGTTCTGCGCGGCGCCGTTGGCTTTGGTCCGCGACGTCGTCCAGTCCAAGAGCTCCGAGAAGTTGCCATTCATTCTCATTATATCGTCGTTTATGGTGACTATTATGTGGTTTCTGTACGGACTGGTCATCAAAGATCAGTTCGTGTCCGTCACTAACGGTATCGGAGCCCTCATTAACACCGTTCAGTTGTCTCTGTTTGTCATTTATCCAAATAAAGCCAAAACACAGGTTTGTATTCATTTGAAAAGTTGCTAATTATTTGTTTCTATGATTTTTGGTTTAATGAATTAATTTTTTTATTTTACAGTAATTTAAGTATTTACTGAACAATGCATTTGATTTGCTCAACTAATTGCTATTTTCTGAGTTTATAATAAAATTCCCATTTATTTATTTTTAAGTTTATAAAAATTATGTTTATTAATTTACTGTATGGCCAGTACTGTAATAGCGGTGGAAATACTGTATTCTGTGAACAAATTCTGGTGTCAAACAAATGGCATTCAAAAGTGGTATAAGAGATGCCGCTCTCATCATAACACACCTGTATATTGACATACAGTAGACTTCATGACATTTAAAAATAATTTATTTAATTAAAAAACAAAAATTCAAACTCATTATGAAGTTTGAATATAATATCGATTAAAATAATGAGATATTAAATAAAATAAATTGCTTTTCATATGACAATGCATTATATGATAGGAGACACTAACTCGTGATAGAGTATATGCATAAAAAGTGGTCGACTGTACCAGTGATCACATGTTTGGCATATAATGTTGTTTTGAAAGAGACTTTGAATTTTCATTTCATTAGCCATTCATATGAGTGAATGCTTTGTGATGTGACACACAATCAACTCATCATTTGTTAGGTTTTCGCATATTTTGAGTTCACATTTGTTTGCATCGATTGCTGTGTTGACCACTCTTTCAGTTGATTTGATTTGGTTTTGTTGTCATCGCATCCCAAGACATGGCATTAATAGAGACGATCGCATTGGTGGCCACAGTCATCACTATTATCTCATTCCTCAGTGGACTGTAAGACGAGCACCAGTTAATTGATCCCAATTTAAATATATGTATTGATTGTCGTCAAAACAGGTCCATTTGTCTGGATATCTACCGCAAAGGATCCACTCATGAGTTCTCGTCCATACCATTCATAGCCGGAGTCTTGTGGTTAGGGTTTTGTTTGTTTGACACAAATTGTTATCTTTTATAAAGTTTTTTGTGTTTTCTTTTCAAAAGTGGTTTTAATTTAAACATATTTTTGTCACTTTTTTGTTGTTTGATTGCATCGATTGGACAACAGTTGCACTCTTTGGTTAAGATATGGTTATATGCTTTCGGATGAGACCATGATTTTTGTCAATACCATCGGCCTATCACTGCAAGCCTTTTATCTGATCTGGTTTTACGCCTTTACCATCAAACGAGTACAACAATTACCTCATTATTCAACAATTTGNCCTATCACTGCAAGCCTTTTATCTGATCTGGTTTTACGCCTTTACCATCAAACGAGTACAACAATTACCTCATTATTCAACAATTTGTCATAACTTTAGCCTAAGTTTCTAATGTCTTATAACTAACGATCGCTTCCAGAGTCAACTCAACAAACAAATTGGTTTCTTATTATCACTGCTGGTGTTGGCGTATGTGGTGGTGGAGTCGCGATCGGATCCCACGTATTTGGCCGGACTCTTAGCCTGTATCTCATCGCTGGTGTTCTGCGCGGCGCCGTTGGCTTTGGTCCGCGACGTCGTTCAGTCCAAGAGCTCCGAGAAGTTGCCATTCATTCTCATTATATCGTCGTTTATGGTGACTATTATGTGGTTTCTGTACGGACTGGTCATCAAAGATCAGTTCGTGTCCGTCACCAACGGTATCGGAGCCCTCATTAACACCGTTCAGTTGTCTCTGTTTGTTATTTATCCAAATAAAGCCAAAACACAGGTTTGTATTCATTTGAAAAGTTGCTAATTATTTGTTTCTATGATTTTTGGTTTAATGAATTAATTTTTTTATTTTACAGTAATTTAAGTATTTACTGAACAATGCATTTGATTTGCTCAACTAATTGCTATTTTCTGAGTTTATAATAAAATTCAGTTATTTTTCTTATGTTTTCTATATTTTTTAGTGCCATTTGTTATTTTTAGATTTTTTAAAGTACTCAAACAAATTGTTATGCAATTAATGATTTTAATGTTCAATAAAATTTTCATAATGAATTTGCTTGCTGATTATCATAGAATATTGGTATTTTAATAATTTTTAGAGACCAGTAAACAGTTACTAAAACAACACTTTTTCTTATTTATAGGCAAACGATTTACGGCAATCTCTATTGAATAGTCAAAATGATTTGAAACCCGTACTTAAGCTGTGATTTAAATTGTAATAATTTAATTATATTTAATGGTATTATCATACTTATGACCAAAGCATAAATCTCGTCCATTTGTTTGCAACATTTAATTATAATATTTATTAAGTTTTTAATATAAAGTTTGTACAAAAAGAATATATTTTTATATCTCATTGACAATTTTAGTCAACATTAAAGCATTGGATTATTTATAAATTCATAACAAATCGCTTTATTTATAGCTATAATACAGTATTAATAAAATAC